ACATACATACATACATACATACATACATACATATATATGTACATACATACACAGGCAACCTCTCGACAAAATGCGTTTTTGCATTACATAGCTGTAAAAAACGCATAAAAAAGCACTAGCGCAGCTGATGATGTATTTGCTTACAGCAATGATTAGCACTTTCCATCGATACTGATACAGATCTCGTACGTATTCTGGATATGCTGAGAAATTGAATTTCCGATAAATGACATTGCACAGATTTTTTATGAATGACAAATTTGTTTCATTGAGACCAATATCGTAAAAAATCAGTCGTTGCTGCGGCCAAAATTTGCGAACTGATGCGATCGGAAATGTACGGCACGTAAAGAAATGATATCTACGGTAGCACCTACAACAGTGGTCTAGCCAGGAAAGTTGGGAAAACTAGCAAGGCAAGCAAATTTCCCTCAAAAATCATATATTTATTGTTTAGCGTTTCTACTAAGCAGCATTAAAAATAACTTGCAAATATTAATAATTTTTGTATGTTCATGCGCTGACAAGCATAACGTAGCGATAAGTAGCGTACTGTTGTCCGGTTGATTTAGGGTTCTATTTCGCCGCCAGTGAGACAACGGTCCCTCGAGGACTCATTTTTTTTCTTTCGATGGTTTTGCAAATTAGTACTGCAGTAAACTTTGAAATCAAACACGCTGTCAGGTGGGTTTCAGGTAATCCTCGAAAAAGAGAGCCATCGCTGCTGTTACTTGCTACTGCATGGGTTACTTTCGAGGATTTTCTCTCTCAAAATCAGTGAATATGAAGGGGTTTGATTTTTGTTATATTCATGATAATGATCACCAAAACCCCAATGAAACCTTGAACACAGCTGAGATAAAAGTCACGTGCCAAGCCAGCTATGCCAGATCCTCCCCAAATTTTCTGCCAAGAGTTCGTATAAATTCGTGTATCTCGAACGTCTAGCAAGGCTGTGGGCTTCTGAAGCCTCTTCAGTTTAATGGTCCTTCGTACATAATAATTTACTGCCTCAGCAATTCTACGACACAGATCAACTTGCGCTTAGTTCCCTGCTACTCTTAAAGAACTGAACTATCCGTCAGCATGGATAAGCAATCTCCGCCACCAAAAACGTTCTCTCTTGAAGTCAAAGATAAAAATTTGAATGTTCATACGGAAGGTGCAAAACGCCAGTTTTGATTCCATGAGAAGCATCGCTTTGGTTTTGAAATTTATCATACCATTTCAATTCCTTCTTTGAAGTGATTATCCGAAAAACCAGTAACCATCACAGATTTTAGCAAATCGTTAGTATTTGGACGCTTAAAATAGTTTTTTGCACTTGGAATTTTATCTAAAAGCAGCAATCGTCCAAAAATAGATTACAGTTAACATCATTAATGAATTAGATCGACACGAAAAATGTAAAAACTATCTGGACTATCACAACTGGGATCCCGTGTTAGTGGTGTTACCGGAATACTCCCGTACTTTAGTACCAAAATGGAGAATCTCTTCACGGAACTTTCTCGCTTCTCCATGTATCTGCCTCCTCTCACTCCAGTGTTGTTTTTTTTGACGTAGCGAACAGGATTTGGTAAGGGCAACTGAATATATGATGAAAATTGCGCCGTCTGTTTGACTGATTATCGACAATGGAACTGGTGGGTGGCGTGAACGCGGCATGGCCGGTCTTAGCAGCGTTTTTTGAACAGGAGATGTGCCCAGGGGCTGCCTAAGTGCTCGGTAAGCCTCGAAGAGGTGGGGGAGACGGTGGCAGTAGCTGGAGAAATTAGGACCAATATATAGCATGTAGTCTCGTTCGACGTGTGGGACCATCCCAGGACGCTTACTCCGCCAAACGGTCTGGTATCCTCGGTATTTTCTGTTTTTCGTCAGAAATTTTTTCATACGCTTTCCTTGATTCTCTTACTGCCCTGCTGCTGTACTGCTACAGCAACAGCTGTTAAGTGATAGAGAATTAGCAGTTTTGCTTGACCGCTTTCAATTTTTGGGCAGTGAAAGGGCGAAGCCACTGGCCTTCAAGCAAGTTCAGCATCTGCAAGTACTGCGCATTGGTACAGTTGAATGGCAAGCCATGCTCGTTTTCGTTCCATGGCAAAGTGTAACAGAAATCGTATGTATTCTTATCGTATACACATCTGCACTCATTATTTATCGGTTGTTGCCATCCTGAAAAACAATCTGATGACTGAGGTAGGGGGTGTTAGTAAAGTTTGGACTTTAGTTTGGATAATGACCTTATTTTGTACAGTAAGCGTATCAAAGACAAAAAGAAACTTCGCTACAGTTCGTTGTTCAAGTGATTTGATCACTTGGAATTTATTCGACTTATGGATAAAAAGCGTTTGTTTGCAGGAGGTTCCTAAAAAAAAGCTGTTGGCGGTTTTGATTTCCCGGGATGTAGTACTGATTGAACCAAATAGAAAAGTCGATTGCATCACAGTTGCTGTGAATTGCGGTTGATCAAACTCTTTTTACAGCATAATCCTTAAACGTCTTTAGGCTACACTTCGCCAAATTGTTGCAAATAAATTCGAAAAGAAGTAAATTAAATTTCGAATGAAAATAATGAAATTACTTGTGAAGAATGGGATTTCTGTCATCTTCCAATGCGCACCATAAAATGCCTCATGTAGAAAAATAATAAATATACATAAAGCAGTAGCAAAAATTAGGCGGATCCTGTTTGTGCAACGAAGCATCCAAGCTTCTTTCATTGCTATAGCCTGCAGTGATTTTGATGTTTGTTGGGAAGAATTCTTATCATTCTGAATGCATTTAGCACATCCCAGAATCACTGCCAAAAAATTTTGCCAGAAAATTCGTCACTTTGAATGACGTCAGCTTGCATTAACAAAATAGCTAAGTGCTGCGAATTTCCGTAGACTACGGCAGTAGTCTAAACCAATCAGATTTATTCTACTTCCGTTTTTTACAGGAACACAATGTTTCGAAAATATCGAGGCGGACGGTGCAGAGACAAGGCACCATCCTTGGTCAGCCACTTTCAAAGAAGGAAGAGGGGAGGGAGGGGAAGATTCTTGCGTTAACGAGAAAATGAAAAAAGAATAGTCCGCATAACAAAAACCAGCCGCTCGATGTTAATGAAAGCCCATTACCGATGTGTTTTACATGAACATTCATCACAGCAAATCAGCCAAAATTCTGCATGAAGGAAAGGGCCACTATTGAAACACGGGCTCGGCTTAGCTCGGCCGGCAGTCATACACGACTGCGAACAATTTTTTGGTGCAGTTACTAAAACTCCCTTTGGCTTGGCTCGGCTGGTACTCTAGCATCTCTAATAAAGCAATTTCAAAGCGAGGCTCCCCGGCTCCGCTTGGCACTCTGCCAGAAATGCTGGGTAGCGCAACCCAGTGCACGCAAATGGAATGCGTGGTTGGAGGTGGTGGTGGTAAGTACTCAAATACAGCTCCGAGGTCACGTATTAGGGCAAGATAGAGGACAGGAACAAGAGGACTAGTGAGAAGTACGAAACGATTAGTGGTGATAGTGGCTGGGGGGTCACTAGATGCCGCTTGGTAGGCAGGGTTATGAAACTTACATGCTGACTTGGGCGAATACAAATGGCATCAGTTTCAAGCTTAAACTGTTAGCAGGTGGGTTTCAGTCAGCATTCAGTCCTGAAATTGGCGTCTTTTATGCTTAATGTTTGGAAAGTTCGGAGACGTTCTGGAAAGTTCGACTTTACACAGCATTCAATAACATCTTGAGGTAGCTGCTAAAAATTGGGGATTGGGGCCTGCACGTGCATGTAGATTAAGTTCCCGAAATTTCAGACGTGCAGCTTTTATAGGTCTTGAGATGAAAGTGCCTGACAGACGCACACACAGACACACGGGCACACAGACACCCCTCGTCAATATGCGTTTTTGTATTGCATAGCTGCAAAAAACGCATAAAAATACCGTAAAAAGTGGCATTGCAAAAGAACGTGTTTTATTGGTGGAGATAGAAGCGACGTAAGGGCAATGACGATAAGAAGCGACGAAAGTACGATGGCAATAAGTAGAGGGCGACGCAGCGGCCAGGTTGTGTTGAATGAACTGAGGACTGCAGAAGAATTCTTCTTTATATAGCCACTAAGCCCGCCAAACCTGATACCAATCGTCTAGGCGGCAATTTCCTATAGGTCATGAAAAGTCAAATAAGGTCAAAATGGGTTAGCTAGGTTGAGCTTGCAAGTAAGCCTAATTGGGGAGGGAGATACGAGCTGTTATGTAATAAAAAATTTGAGATGATATTTGGGAACTGTGAAATCATAATAAGCTGGACGTAGGAATAAAACCAAAATCAAAAAGTGAGCCTAAAATAAGAAATAAAAGTAAAAGCAAACGAAGAACACGGCATCAGTTATAAAGCTGATGCCTAGGTAAAGCTGAAGGCGAATAGGATGAAGCTGCGTAGGTAAAGCTGAGAGTTTTCAGCTTCACCTAAGCATCAAATTCATGAATAGGGAAGCTCACTAATGCAGAGAGGCTTTTATAAGGCAATTTCCGCTCACAAGCTTTCCTTTTGCTAAGTTTTTTATTTGTTTTTTGCTTCTGTTTTATCAGTTTTTATTTGCTTTTGCTATCCTTAGTTTTTATTCATAGGTTCCGATTCCTTGCTTTTGCTTTTCTTCTTTTTTTTTTTCATAAATTTAGGTTTTCTTTAATTCATTTTTCTTTGTACTGCTCTGTCGTTTCTTCCTCTTTACTACTGTCTTCAGTTCTTGCCTCGAAGTCCTGACTAGTGGCCCTGGTCGCCTTCTCTATCCAGTCCCTAAAAAACCCTGCCTCCATAGCTGACATCTGGGCACACATCACCCACCACCCCAACCAACGTTACCATCAATCGTTTGGAACTCTTCACTAGCGTTTTTGTTCAACTCTTCTATCCCGTCCCAATCCGTGCCCTCGGAACTGCATCTGGGCACTCGTTCACCACCACCTCCAATCATGCCAAACCCCCACCCAGCACCCCTCCCCTCCTCCTTCCGCACTATGCGTTCCAATCGTTGTGCACTGGGTACCGATACCCAGCGTTCCTGGCAAACTGTCAACCGACGTTGGTGAGTGTCGCTGTGAAACAGCATTAGCAGGGAGGCTACAGTAACAACGGAGCCAGGCCGAATTTTAGTAGTGTTGCTTAATTTAATGTATGTTACTAAAACACAGCTCGGCTCGTCTCTTACACTATTAGTCAAAAATTTTTTCTAAGCACGACGGGTAGAGTTGCCCGTGCAGCCGTGTGCTACAAATATGCAATATTAGGATCAGAAATAATGGGTCCAAGTATCGTATGCACATTTTCTGTTTAATTTTTTTTTTATGGGCTTGCCGTCACTGAAAGGATCTCCAAGAGCTTTATAAAAAGGTGAATTGACGAATGATAAGAATGGGTCGCCGTAGCCATACAATGTAACATTCAGTGGACTGAGCCTCCTGAACAGCATTCATTTAATCTTTCTACAGTGCAGGATTACAAAAAACAGGCTGAAGGGCGAAAAAAAAAAACAAAAAACAGCGTTTTGGCACGAGATTTAATGCAGCATTAAAACATTCAATGAGAGTGTTGTTTGCTTCACAATTTCATATGCACGCTCGCGTTGCTGATAATTTTGCTCGTAGCTTCATTCATGTTCGGCTGGAGGGGAGCAAAGGGGGGGGGGGCAGAAGGGTTTTTGGGTGAGCCGGTGGTGCGCATTCTGGGACCTCACAAAAGTTTCGGCTTTCTGGCGTGCCTGATTGTCGTGAGAGAAGCCATCAACAGTTTTACAATTGGGCATTTAACGATCCGCTCACGGAACGCGGGCATAAGTGGAAACTCATTTTAAGCCTGTGCGCCAGCTTTCAATTTGGCTCTGGGGTTGTAAGGGTTTCGACAAGGGGTTAAAAGAGCTTATGAACGCGTAATTCATGAACTGTGTGACGGTGATAAATTTTTATCCTCGAGAATATAAAAACACTATGTTGGAATGTAATTTAGACGATGGGACAAAATTGAGAATTTTCAAAACGCCACATTCGGATAGTAAAAAGGTGATGTGCTAAATTTTGATGGCAGATTTCTTAGTTTTTAGTGAAAAATTTTATAGGTTCAGGCCGTCCGGTGAAGTCGAACTTTCGAGCATTCAAAGCGAAGAA